GGTGCTAAAATCCAGGTCCTTATATGTTAAACCACTGCCCCAGACCTCTCGCTGTGCCTGGAGGCTCACCTTCAGGCACACCCCCGTCCCCCCCCAGCTTCCACAGCACTAGTGACATCCCCAGGTGAGCAGGGCAGTCCGCCTGTGGTGGGGGTTAGGGACAAGAAAGCGCCTGTGTGTACTGGGGAGCATGTGTGGGGTGCATCTAGCGATGAGCCACATATCATTAGGCGCCATGTGCAATCTCTCCCACCTTCAGCTGTGCGGTTGCCTCCCTGCAGCAGGTGCCCCCAGTGGAAAGAAGCATCTGGGGATGTCAGACCCAAAAGGCAAGGAAGGGGAAGTGGCACTGCAAGAGGGGTGTTGTGTGGTACAGCGCGGGTCCTGGCTCAGTAGCGCGACTGTGAGGGCCCCTTTCTGGGCAGAAGTGGGAGCCTGGAAGCAAGTAAAGGGCAGCTGACCTCTGCTCTTCCTTCCCTCCAGGCCCACGGTGTAAAAGGTAAAAGCAAATGGCTGCTTTTGTGTCAGGCCAGCTGCTGCTGTGTGGGGCCCCAGGGCTGGTGCCTTGGGGTCGCTGCTGACTGACGAGCACGCCAAGCCCCTGGAGCCATGTCGCTGCTATTGCTTGTGCCGGGTTTTGTGTTGGAAACCTGGGCCTGTGGCTCGCTCTCGTGCTGTTACACCTGTCACTGTTCAATGCCCGTGTTTGTCAGTAGTAACTCCCTGCCATATTTGCTCGGTGAGACACAGCCTTTCTGTGCCCTGCGCGGCCGCGTCACCACATGGCTGTCCCTGCTTTGGCCCCGAGCTGGGTCTGGGCTGAGGCACTGACCCTGCTCAGGCAACGGAAGGATAAACTCCCATCCTTTCTAATACCTCCTTGAGGATGCTGTCCCCACCTTTCCCCTGGGGAGGGGTAGGTGTGGGTGGGCACACACTGCCCCCCTGTCCCTTTGGCTGCTCCGTGGCTGGGCGGGTGAATGCCGGCCCTGCACAATGTGCAG